GAATGTCATCTTTTAGTTATTTTTAAGTACAAAATTATTTCTGTGGATAGATTCTTAGAAATGGAATTGCTGGGCCACAAGGTGTATACATGTTAAATTTGATAAATAATCCCAAGTTTTATTTCAGTCAGTGGTATATGAGAGTGCCACTGGATATGATGAATCTTAGTTTTTTAAATCTGTTACACAAAAAATGGTATTTCATTTTCATTTTACCATTGAAATTGAGTAAATTTTTGTATTCATTTTCTGTTTGGATTTCTTTTGAAAAGAGCAGTCTTTTTTTTTTTTTTTTTTTTAATCTTTCTAAAACCTTTTTAAAGGTTTTATCCTTTACCTATTAGAGGTAGTCCCTGACTTAGGATGGGATTCTGTTCTGATGACTCCATCATAAGTTGGTTCTGATGTAAGTCGAATATCTCACTCTTTTTTCTTTTTTTAGTTTTCATTATTATTGCTTTTTATTATTAGTATCTTTATAAATCCAATCTTTATTTGTCTTTGGAGGTTGAAAAATTACATATAAACTTACAGATATATTTTAATGCATACATAGAATCCACTGCTGTCGAGTCGATTCTGACTCTTAGTGACCTTATAGGACAGAGTAGAACTGCTGCATAGGTTTTCCAAGGATACAGTCTTTACAGAAGCAGACTACTACATCTTTCTCCCATGGAGTGGCTGGTAGGTTTGAACTGCCAACCTTTTGGTTATCAGCTGAGCACTTAACCACTGTGCCACCAGGGTTCCTTAATACACACGTACATATATTAAAAAAAAATCATGAAAATTTACTCTGACTATGAAGAAGAATTGGATGACGCTGGCATTTTATCAGTTGTAATAACTCCACTTGTGAAAGGTTCTGGATCATTTGGATATCCCTGGGAATGGGGATGGTGTTTCAAGTCAGAAAATTAGTGGGAGTTGTCTGTATGGTCCTTTTTTTTCTTCATATATTTCGTGGTAACATCCCACTGCTTCCCAAATCTGCCTGTTGACTGTAGCAAAGCGACTAGTGTTTGGGTCCATGTTTTCAAGCAACTGAAGCCACTGATTTTAGCTGAGAAAATCTATATTGTGTTTTGAACAGTAAATCATAAAACTGAACATTGGTGAGTGAAGATCTGAGAATGATAATATTAGCAAATTATGCACTGCAACATTGTATAAGTATGTATTACTAACGATATGATGCACAAAAAATTAAAAGGACAGTAGTTAAGTGTGGTTCGTCGTAACTCTGATATGCCGTAAGTCAGTGACTACCTGTCTTCTATTAGGGTCGTCTGTCTTTTTCTTAGTGATTTGTAGGTGCTTTTATAGTCATGTTATTCTTCATGGTGTTATTTGTTATACATACTCTCTGTTTACAGTGTTTTCACAATACAGAAGAAAATTATTTTTGTGTAGTAAAATGGATTATTCTTTCGTGACTTCTGAATACCTTCCTCACTGCAGGATTTAAAAACAAAATTCATAGAAATTTTCTTCTGAATCTTTTGTACTTTGTTTTCCAAAGATACTTGAATCTCTTTTTGAATATATATTTAATTGTTCTGCCCATTTTTTACTCACTTTTTTCACTAACATTTAACCTAGTTGACTAATGCTTGCTTCTTAAAAAATGTTCCTCTCTTTGCTTCTGTAACACCGCTCATTCTTGTTTTATTTCTGCCTTACTAGCTGCTCTTTGTTGGTCTTGTTTGCCACTTCCTCCTACGCTTCTCACTACACATCCTTTGATTATTTGGTACATCATTGCTCAGTCCTGGCTGCTCTTCAGTCCTGACTGCTCTTCTGTCTTATGTCTGTTCTCTCTTCTTAGGTGGTTTTATTTAGTCTTGTGTCTTTATGTATCATCCATATGCTAACCCATTGCTTTTGAGTTGATTCCAACTCATAGCGACCCGATAGGCAGAAGAACTGCCCCACAGGCTTCAAAGCAGCGGCTGGTGGATTTGAGCTGCCGACCTTTTGGTTAGCAGCTGAGCTCTTAACCACTGCGCCACCAGGGCTCCAGTCCATATGCTAAGCCAAAAAAAAAAAAAAAAAAAACCCCTTGCCGCTGAGTCAATTCTGACTCATAGTGACCCTATAGGACAGAGTAGAACTGTCCCATAGAGTTTCCAGGGAGCACCTGGTGGATTCGAACTGTCGACCTTTTGGTTAGCAGCTGTAGCACTTAACCACTATACCACCAGGGTTTCTGGATCCATATGCTAGTTACTCTCAAATTTGTATCTCTAATTTAAATCTTTCTTCTTGATTTTTGGTCTCACCCTTCTGGCCACCCAACCTTTCTAAAAACCCGTCTTCCAACCATAATCCTCTTCCTTCCTGAAGAGAATCCAAAATCCCATCCATTTTCTACATACAGCTTTCCTTCCAATTCAGTCCAAATGTGGTTTCTCTCAGTTCAGTAATCTATAAAATAGTAAACAATTTCTGTTTCCCTTTTTTGCCCAGTCTTTTGTACAGTAGTCAATAAGACTAGTATAACTGTAATAAAAGCTCCTTTGGAGAAAAGAAGAGGAAGTGCACAGCAGTTATTGTCCATATTAATAATTAAATACTCTGGACAGGAGTTGTGATGACTCAGCCCTGGTAATGGTGTAAGTTCCTTGGTTAAACTGATTTTTCTTTGTGGGAGAAACGCTTTTTTTGACTGTTGTTTGTGTCTTTGGCTTTGTCCATTAGCTGATTCCTCATTGTTATCTTCCTTGACCACATCCAAAGCAGACATTAGAGAGTATGACATCCCTAGGAGTTGCCAATTTTTTAGCCTCCTGTGTGTTGGTATAGATTTGGGGTCTGTGGTTACTTAAAGTTCATTCATAGGTTTTTGTAGGCCAGTAGTAAAGTTTGGAGGTAAAAATCTTTCAAAAACTTAATAGATTTCTGTTCTGTTTGCTTTACATCATTCCCATGTGGTATTAATTGCAGTAAAAGATCTCTTTTAGTCATAATTTTGAAACCTGCTGATTCTCTTATTTACTGGTCTTTGTGCTAGGCCTGTTCTTTCCCTTGTATTTCCTGGCTACCTTGATGGCATCTGAAATAATAGATGGGTAATGTATCGTAGTTCAACCAGAGAAGCAGAACCTGAGTGGGCTGTCTAAGCAAGCCCAGTTAAGAGAATACGCAGGCTGGAACCCATGGGCACAAGCCGAAGCTGTTCTCTACAGGCAGCCAGGAAGGGAAGAACAATTGTAGACTCAGCTACTGTTTGGAGTTTGGTTTGCCAGGGAAAATCCAGTCTCTAAGGCTCACTTGATTATGTCATGTGCATGAGGATGATTTCTCTAGCTCAGAGTCAACTGATTAGGGGCTTTAATAACATTGGCACCTAAATTAGTGTTTAATTAACTGAGAAAAGATATTTGTATGCTACAAAATGACTGTTGACCTCTTCCTTTGTTTAACTTAATGAAGTTGACACATCAAAAATCACAGGTGGGAAGGCAGCACTCTTAGTCTGATCTTTGCTACTATCTGGCAAAGAACTCTTGAGGTCACAAGTTATCTCCTGGTATTTGAGACACAGGAGGAGATGCTTTTCCCAACCTAACAGGCCCCAAGTTACTGGACTTTTACAGATTGGAGTTTGCTGAGCTAGCTTCTTTTTGTAGCACTGTTTTTCATGTCTGTCTCTACTTGCAAACTGCCTAATTCTTTTTTTTTAATTTAAATTTTATTTTGTTGTGTTGAGAATACACACTGCAGAACAGTTCATCAGTTTCTACATGTACTGTTTAGTGCCATTGATTGCATTCTTCCAGTTGTGCAACCACTCTCACCCTCCTTTTCTGAGTTGTTCCTCCCCCCTCCAGTAACATAAATTCACTGCCGTGTAAGGTTCCTATCTAATCTTTGCAGTTGCTGTTGTCAACTTGATCCCGTATAGATAGTTCTTACAAGAACATAATGCTCAAGGCAGACACTTTTTACTAGTTAAGTTAAACTATTGATTGGTTTGAAGAAAACTTCAGGGAATGTTTTTGGTTTAAGGTTTAAACATTAATCTCAGGGCAGTAGTTTCAGGGGTTCATCCAACCTGCAAGGCTCCAGGAAGTCTGGAGAGCATTAAAATTTGAAATTCTGTGCTGCATTTTCCCCCTTTTGATCAGGATTCTTCTATAGAATCTTTGATCAAAGTGTTCAGTAGCGGTAGCCAGGCACCATCCAGTTCTTCTGGTCTCATGGCAAAAGAGGCAGTTGTTCATGGAGGCAGTTAGCCACACATTCCTTATCCTCTTTCTATTCTTCACTCTCCTCCTTTCTCTGTTACTCCAGGTGAGTAGACACTAATTGTTGTGCCTTGGATGGCCACTTGCAAGCTTTTGCAAACTGCTGAATTCTTAACTGAGAATTTGCGGTTGATCACAATACACACCAGTATTCTGAGTTTTTCTAAGAGATTGGTAGGCTTCTGAGGCTTGGTAGGCATGTGATGTGCCTTCACTGTTTACTGCAGGTAAGAATCTTAGCAAATGTTTTGCTACTGCGTAACAAGGGTCATTAGCTTTCCAGCCTGAGATATGTTTCCTTGCTGCCTGACCTCTAAGCCTTATCAGAGTTTTTAGGAATTTGTTATGGCAGCACTACACTTGTAGTTGGCTGTGTTAGTTAAAGCATGGGATAGATTGTTTGAGCAAAGAGACTCTAAAACACAAGTGGCTCAAACAAGATGGAAGTTTGTTTCTGTTTTATGTGATACTTCAGAGATAGTCCTTCAGGTCTTGCATGGATCTGAATTCCTGCTGTCTTATTGCTACATCTTCCCTTAAGCTATGCTATCCGTTATGGTAGTCACTAGCCACATGTGGCTACTGAGTTCTTGAAATGTAGCTAGTGTAACTGAGGATCTGAATTTTTAGTTTTTATTTAAATTTTAATTAAGTAATTATATGTGGTTAGTGGCTACCTGGACCCCTGGTGGCATAGTAGTTAAGTGTTCGGCTGCTAAGGAAAAGCTTGGTAGTTCAAATCCACCAGCCACTCCTTGGAAACCCTATGGGGCAATTCTGCTCTGTTCTGTAGGGTCACTGTGAGTCGGAATCAACTCTACAGCAGAGAGTTTGGTTTTAGGTTTTAGTGGCTACCATACTGGAAAGTGCAGATATAGAACTCTTGCGTCATTACAGAAAGTTTTATTGGACAGCTCTACTTTAGAGTGTTGACCTCATCTGCAAGGTATAATCTGGCTCACTAGCATCATGTCCATGTTCTAGCCCATGAGAAATAAGAAACAGAAAGTTAAGCTCAGAGAGCTTCCTTTCTAGGAATTGACCAGGGAGTTGCAAACATCATTTCCTCTTACAGCCCATTGGCCAGAACTTAGTTACAGGGCCACACCTAGAATATGTAGCTCTTGCTGGGTGTTCATATACCCAGATAATACTTGTGGAGAGGTGGTCTATACCCATATAATGCTTGTGTAGAGGGGGTCTTTTACTAAAAGCAGAAAAGGAGTGTGGATATTGGGGGACAATTAATGTCTTGCACATACATAATTCTAGATTTTCGTTGTTCTTATGACTAGCAACATAAAAGAAGAAGTCCCTCTTTCCTGGTTCTGGAAATAATCTTGTTAACCTAGTTTGGGTCATGTGTCCATTCCTGAACCAGCCACTGTCACTAAGGAAATTGATGTATTGTTCAGGCCTAGGTCATGTCTTTCCACCCCATGTGAGAGGTAGACTAGGAGAGGTCATCCTCACCTGAGCCTCATGGAATAGTTTCCCAAAGAGAGAGGGTTTTTGTTGCCAAAAAGGTGGGGTGTGGGAGTGAGAAAGGAAGGAGTGTTGGACATTCTTATAACCCCAATAACTAGTATTTTAATGAGTGCTTACTATGTGGCAGGGTTGTTGTAATGCTTTATATACAGTCTCCTTTAATACAACAATTCTAATAGATAGAGTTTTTCACCGTTTTATGGTTGAAAACAGTCAAGGCAAGAAATAAATAACCTGCTCCAGTTCATAGTAAATGATGGAAATGTCATATATGGGCATTTTTACATCAAAATCTGCTGTCTCTACCTTCCATATTCCACTGCTTCCCTACTATTCTTTTATGGCCACCCTAGTAATTGCTCAAGAAATATGTTCTGTATAAATTTTAGAGCACATTAGCTCATTCCATCTTGCCCCTAGGTTCTGTTTACAGATCTACATGAATGACATCTTACTCTTGTTTATGCGTAGTGACTTATCCCTAGGTCACTACAAATAAGTAGTAGTAGTAGTTCTGGAACGCTCAGGAGTTGGTTAGAATACCAGGTTATAAGACTTCTTCCCAAGATGACTTTATCCAAGGGTTAATGTTGTTCTGTTATTGTACATATTGTTGTTTCTCTAACCCCCATCTTGGAGAAGTTCATATGAATGGTCGGGAGATGGCCTCCATAGATTATGAGTAAATCAGTGTACTATTTACCAGTTCTGGAACATCAGATCAGAGGTCTTGTAGATGACCTGTTTCATCATAGTAAGTGCTAAAAATGTGAAGCAAGAATGTTCTAGATCCTGCTGTCTCCCTTAATTCATGCTATCAGGTAAAGATGACATGTAAGCTGAATCTCTGAGAACCTCATAGAAAAGGGACAGGATAATACTTTCTTTTGAGGGGGGTCAAATGAGATAATGTATGTGAAAACATTTTGTGAACTGTCAGGATATCTGCAGATACTAGTTGTTAAAACTGAAGCATGAAGAAAAATGGAGAGCTTTGTGAAAATGGGGTTACTGACTAGTAAGATGTTTGGCTATTTTTTATACAATTCAACCACCTGTAATTTAGAAACACTTCACTTTTTCATTTTCATTTAATTTGATTATTTTATTCATTTATAGATTGCCAGTAAAGCTTTTCAGCTGTAATTGTGCACGTGGATTAATTTATTTTAGGTGGAGATAATCTGTTTCTCTGGATGGAATTAGACATTTTTATTGTAGCAGACTGAAAATTTTTAAGTGAAGTTTTCTTTCTTTACTGATTGATTGCTCAGGTTGTTACTTTCCATATGTGAAAGAACTTCGTGATCTATTTTGGTTAAATTAATTGCAAATTATACTTCTTTTTAATTCTGCTAATAGTATAGGACTTTTTTCACTATTAATATTAGATTATTAAATATATTGAATTTTAACTGAATTACTCTTCTTTCTCTTACTGTTTGGCTTCCACTTTTACAACGTTTGTTTTAAGCAGAAACCCAAAATGATATATGATATTTGTAGAACTAGAACTAGAACCAAATTCAAACTATTCACTTTGGAATACTGCCTTATATAATAAAGATTATTTTTTCTCAATACTAAATTATGTTATTAAATTTTTGTTAATAAAATCTGAGATAAATTGTCCATCATTCCTCATCCGTTTATTCCTTACCAAACACTCATCAAGCTATTGCTGTGAGCTTTGCTAGGCAGTGGGTACCTGAAGGTATATAAAGAGTACATGGTGACATTAAAGAGCTAAAAATACTAGTGATAGAGACAGGCTTGTAAAACAGGTATGCACCACTCCTCACTTATCAACCTGGTTATATTCCAAAGACCAGGTAGGTCATTGTGCAAAAATTGACCTTAGGTGAAAATGAAGGATTTGTTTTTCTGTTTTCAGACTTTCCATTTGCCTGATTTTTTTTGAAAATATGATCATAGAACTAATAACAGCTAAGATTTACTGATATGCTCATCACTGTGATAAGTGCAATAATTGATTATCTCTCTGTGGAGAAGGAGGCTTGGAGGAGATAAAAATAAAATTGGATAAAGCCAGACTGTGTGATGTGGCTTAACCATTTCATCTTCCTCCTGTGCTGGGTCAGAGCCTCCCTTGAGGAGCCGCCTCCAGGGCTCCACTCCCCCCGCCCCTGCAAGCCCTTCATTCACAGTCCTGGAGCCTGCTCTGCCATCTAGGCTGCCTGCAGGCCAAGATCTGCTTGGAGGCCATGGTCATGGAGGAGGCTGGACCCGCTGCCCCCACTGGCAGAAGGGAGTGGAGGGCTCAGGGCAGTGCCGCCTAGCTTCCTGGAAGCTGCCCAGGGACCTTCCTCAAGGGAGGGGCCTCTCCACAGCCCTTGCTGCCATGCCTGCTGCCTCGTTAATGCACAAAATAATCGGGTAGTAGATTTTTTTTACCATCATGATAAATGTGAAATGTCGGATAACAAGATAGTTGATAAGTTTGGAGTATGTGTATTACAGTGTGGTTAATGTATTAAAAAAAGTACTTTGGAAGGAGCATTATCCACACATACAACATAAAAGTCTGCATGGAGAAGAAGACCACAAACTATGGGTAACATAGTCCCAGGAAAATAAATATTTCAGACAGATTTTTAAAGGCTGGGTTTGTGAACATCTTGATGAGGCTACAAAGACCATACATAGAGCCTCTCTTATAAAAATACGAGTTAATAAAGGCACTTTTCACTTTTACATCCCAGTGTGCATGAGAAATAAAGTGAGTTGCGTTTTCCTCTACATGAATAGTATTAAAGAGATTAAAAGACAAAAAAACAAACTTGAACATAATTCAGAGAAGATCTACTGGGATAGTGAGAAGACTTCAGAATGTGTTATTTGTGGAAATACTGAATGAACTGAGAATTATCTGTATCTGTATGAAGTAGGGAAGTCTCTGGGATATGATAACCATCTTCACCTATAATGTGACAGTGAGCATTTTATGATTCTCCTAAAGGAGTAGAGTTATAAATTGGATGGACGCAATGGGGTAATAGCTTTGGGGACAGTGTTTGGAACTGTGTAACAGAAGTTTCTAGAGAGTTTTTTTTTTTTTTTTTCCTGATGTTTAAGCATAGGCTGAGGAGTTGAGATTCTGTAATGGAGATTGCACAAAGGATTAGTTGTTTGGTTTAGATGATGTTTTAGGATTAGATTCTGGTTTAAATCTTTGGTATTTAAGTAGAATATGTACAGGTTCTTAAGTTTCCCTATAATTTTAAAATTTGTACTACTTTATTAGAGTAATAGGAAATGTTTGTACTTTTCTTCCCCTTTCATCTCCTTTTCTGGGAATGAAGAAACAAACCATATTTCCATGACGTCTCTTCTGTAGGATTAGCAGATGCTACAGGGATTCTAGATAAAATGGTATAGTATCAAAGATTTGACCAGGCTGTTTTCTAAATCTCAGGATTTCTGAAACGTATTCCCAACTCGCTTTGTGGACTGTTCTTTTCACTTGTACCTTTTTTTTCTCTTTTCTTACTCTGTACCCATATAACCACCTTACAGCCCAAGATCCTCTCTTCCACATGGCCCTGCTTTCTGGCTCCAACCAAGACTCAAGTACCTGAGTTCTCTTGACCAGATCCAAGTACTATAATATACTTGAGTTGCGTATATGGGAGATGTTTTCATGTGAGGAAATTTTTACCTACTTTAGCCTTATCACCAGATCTCCTTGTCTTTTATACCAAGACATAAAAAAAAAAAAACGCGATTAGTATTGCAATTGTTTGTCTTTTATGCGTGAGCAAATTTGTTTTGTATCCAATGGAGCCCAGAAGAGGACCCATTTATTGTCTTAGGCAGCGTTGAATGTTAAGATTCATAAATCTTAAATCAAGCGCAAAAGTCCTCCTGACCTCACTACCATAAGCAGAAGTTTCCCTGAGAATCTTAATTAAAGCACAGTTAGGAAGTAGAGTTAGATTCCAATTTCGTAAAACCCCAGGCATGTGAGCACTTGGCAGTTTCCATTCATGACAAAAAATTATATTCCGTTTTGAAAATAACCCATTGCCTTTCTATTTGTTTTCTTACCAATATTTCTCCTGTAAAAATAATGATGAGGAAAGAGTTTGAAGCTGAGTACGGCAATTTGGTTTTGGATCCTGCTTTATTAGTATGTGACTTAGGTAAAAGTTACTCCATGTTCTTCATCCATGTTGAGGCTAATGATTCCTTCCTAACCATTTTTATAAAGAATGGAAATTATATATCTATACTGTTGTACACATTGGAGATATTCATTAATTATTGCATATTATTCTGGAATGTAATAATTAATGAGTACCTCCAGTGTTCAAACCCCATAAAGATTGTTGTTGTGTGCCATCTAGTTGATTCTGACTCATAGCGATCCTTACAGGACAGAGGGAACTGCCTCATCAGGTTTCCTGGGTTGTAATCTTTTTTTTTTTTTTTTTTTATCATACTTTAGATGAAGGTTTACAGAACAAATAATTTCTCATTAAACGGTTAGTACACATACTGTTTTATGACAATGGTTAACAACCCCACTGCACGTCAACACTGTCCCTTCTCGACCTTAGGTTCCCTATTACCAGCTTTCCTGTCCCTTCCTGCCTTCTAATCCTTGCCCCTGGACTGTTGTGCCCCATTAGTTTTATTTTATGGGGCTGTCTAATCTTTGGCTGAAGGGTGAACTTTGGGAGTGACTTCATTACTGAACTAAAAGGGTGTCTGGGGGCCATACTCTCGGAGTTTTTCTGGGCTGTAATCTTTATGTGAGCAGATCGCCAGGTCTTTTCTCCCAGAGAACCGCTGGTGGCTTCAAACTACCGACCTTTTGGTTAGCAGCCTAGCCCTTAACCATTGTGCCACCAGGGCTCCTCCCATAAAGATTCAGCCTAGAAAACCTTACAGGGCAGCTCTACTCTGTCACATGGGATTGCTATGAGTCGGAATTGACTTGACAGCACCTAACAACACCACCACTCTGGATTGAAGTTAACCTTTGTTCTTTCCTAGTCAGGGGCAGTTTTCTTCACCTTTTTTTGAGTCATGGATTTTGGTTAGATTCTGATGAAATCTGTGAACCTTTTCTCCCCTGAAACATACATACAGCATTTTATAGTTTGTTTCAGGGAGTATAGAGTTTTTTGAGTTCTATGAACCATGGGTTAGGAGTTTTAGGTCAAGAATATTGGATTTCATCTATCCACTGAGGAGTTCATTAACTTCCTGTGCTTTTATCACCTTTAAAATTAAAAAGTAAATAATCTTTTTGCAGTCTTCACCCCCAGTAATCGCACTAGTAACTACAGGTTTTTTCTTCCAAGGGTTGCCACCATAACCATTGGGAAAATTTTCTTTGGATAATAATTTTTAAACCTGCTGCCACCGAGTTGATTCGGACTCATAGCAACCCTATAGGACAGAGTAGAACTGCCCGGTAGGGTTTCCAAGGAGCGACTGATGGATTTGAACTGCTGACCTTTTGGTTAGCAGCCAAGCTTTTAACCACTGCACCACCAGGGCTCCAGTAATTGATTAGGAAGTTTTAAATTGCTGTCAACCTTCACACATTCTTTTTCTTTCCGAAGCCATTGGAATCTTGACTCAGAGAAAAAGCCAGTTAAGTGATTGTTGGTTTTTATAGATGTTTTTTCTTTTTCCCCCTGGAAGAGTGAAATTTGTTTTATGGAAAGAAAAGATATCCTTAGTTTACAAATATTTCCTACATTGTATGTTTAACAGCAAACTATGAAGGTATAATTTGATTTCTTCAGGCTTATTTTACAGTTATTGACCTCATTTCTTTTAAATATGGTGGACTGTACATATTCCTTTACCTTTCTTTCTTCCCACAGTTCCACTGATATTTTTTGAAGATTGAAGTAAACCACAATTCTGAAAAGAAAAAAAGATATTAATCAAACTACCTTAAAGAGGAGCAAAATAATTTCATTAGTTCTCTAGCTTTAATGTGTGCTTGTGTGTGTGTATGTGTATGCAGGGAAGGATAGAAAATCTAACTTGGGCATGGATAGAGTCAGACTTAAATAATGTCATCAATACTGTTTCTCTCAACATTTTCGGCCTTTTTTTTTTTTTCCTCCCTGTATTGGCTTTATTTTCAGCTATGCAGATATGGCTGGCACTCAAAGGAGAGGGGGATATAATATTCTATCCAGACCTGGGTTGTGTGGTCAATCGTGTGGCGGCTGGGAAGGATCACCTCCACCTAAACCGCATAGAGTATGTTCCCCACAAAAAAGAGGGATTATGTTGCTAGAAAAAGGGGGTGGGGGGAAAGCATGTTGAGCAGTAAAATTACAGTTCACAGTCCACTACAGGTACCATCAGAGGAGCAGAAATTTTGAAGAAGATAGAAAGATCACGGGATCAGATTGACAGCAAAATCCCAGAGGAAACTGGAACCCAAGATACCAGAGGTAAGCACAGGTTTTACCAGGGGAACATCAGAAAGGCTCCAAGCTTGGAGTCCAAAAAATGGCAAAGATAGTAGTGGGCAGTTGGGTAATAATCAAGAATATTTTGTAAACAGTTGTTTTCCAAAGTGCTGAGTCAGTTGAGCCTCCATCTTGACCTTTCTCCTGCCTAAACAGCTCTGGTGGCAGTGGTGTCTGCCCTCAGGCCTGAAGTCTCAACTCTTCTCTTAAAGTAGGCCAAGGGTTCAGTAGGGCATCTACTGATGTGTTAGAGCTTGAGAGAGAAGCAAAGGCATGAAAGTACACTACTTCAGAGAAGCAGTTTTAGCAGTTGCCAACCTGTTTGACTTCCTGTCTAGGTATCTTACTGGGATGTCTGCTTATCCATATACCTTACTTGCTTAAATAGTACTCACAATCAGCTCTCTTATTTAAGGGAGAAGCCACGTGGAAAAACAAACCCTGACAACTTCAAGGAAAGCCTACGTTGGCTTCCTATACTCTTTAAAGTAATCTTTCATTTGTCAATATAAAAAGATAGGGATAACCAGACAATCAAGGAAAATCAAAAGAATGGAAGAACATTAAAATAAGCAACAACTGACCTCAGTTATAATTCAGGGAACAGAAGAAAACTTCAAAGCAAAAATGTCATTATTGTGTCATTTAAGATGGAAGAACATGTTGTACTGATTAATCATAGCTGCACTAAAAGGGGCAGAAGATGAGAAGAAGTTTTGAAAATTATAAAGAAAAATTTCAGTGAATTGGCTAGATAACTGTTTAGCATAAATCAAGACAGTTGTTAATTTGGAGCTAAAGAAGTGGTACTCCGTGTATATGGAGCAAAAACAGATCTAGAAAAGCAGAGAAAAAGAGATCGAAAATCCTTCACAAAGTTTCTACATCCATAAATATGAACTCTAGAAGCAGAGAACAGGAACAGTGGGAAAGAGAAAATAATGAAAGAAAATCTCCTAGCCTGGAGAAAGATGAATTTTCAGATTGAAAGAGCCCATCTGCTACCAAACAGGATGAATGAAAAAAGATCTAATCTAGGAAAGTCTGGTAAAATTTCAGAACTCTAAGGATAAAAAGGAAATCCTAAAATTACTGCCAGAGAAAGGGAATAAGCCCAAACCCATTGCTGTCGAGTTAATTCCGACTCATAACAACCCTATAGGACAGGGTAGCCCCATAGAGTTTCCAAGGCTGTAATCTTTATGGAAAGCAGACTGCCACATCTTTCAGTGGGTTTGAACCACTGACCTTTTGGTTAACAGCCGAGTGTTCAACCACTGCGCCACCAGGACTTCTTGAGAAAGCGAATAAGGAAAATCAAATGACTGAGCAGCCATGCTGAATGCTTGAAGATAGTGGAACAGTGTCTTTAATGTTTGGGAATAAATAGACTTGAACCTAAATTTTCTCTACCCCACCACACCGTTTATCATGTGAGGACAAATACATTATTTGCTGTTGGAAAAACTATGCACCTATATATAAATATTGTTTGAGATACTATAGCACAATGAAAAAAATAATCCAAGATAGAGGATGTGGGGGGCGGGAGGGGGTAGGAGTGGTAGGTAGCTACTGTTGCATCTCGGGGCTCCAAGAAGAGATGAAGAAAGCCAGAGGGAAGTTAAGAGTGTTATTAGTATAGAATACGTGGACAATTTTCCTTCAACTATTAATATCTAAATAACAGTTATATTCAGTAAACAATATTTACCTAATCACATTATAAACTGTACTTAATTGATTTTTAGTTTTTAGAATCAGCCTAGAAAATACACAAAATGGACTTAACAGTTGTGGAGTAGAATGTGTTATAAATCTTTATAAAGTAAAATAATCTGTAAAATTAGGAGATGGAGGGCACCAAAAGAAGGATAAGTGCTCATTCTTTCCATGGAGAGTCAAGCTGATAACTACAAGTAGAAGTTTATAGCACTGTTCCAATTCATTGCCATTTTGATACAAGAGAGTAACAAAAAAGACAGTGTTCATCCTGTGCATTGTGATGTTTGGATTTTTAAAAACTCTCATGTGCATGTATCACATCTATAATATTTAAAAGATTGCAAATGTGGTGCATATACTTCGTTAGATAATCATACTGCTCTTTATGAAGCAAATGCATTCCAGGGCAACATGACTTTTAGAAACTCTCTGAGGAGGAAATAGAGGTTGTATGACGATTAATTCCAGGAAAGGGGGGAAAGTTGTGTAGAATATAAATAAAACTATTTTTATGTAGAATGCATAATTATTTCTTGACTGGATCACATTCATGATTTTGTGTGTTAATTCCTGAATCTTTTCCGTGATTAATAATACATTCCTTTTATAATCTTTTTTTAAAAAAGTATGTTTAGTAGTTGTGGAAAATTTAGAAATTTTAGGGAAAATTCTGAGTCTCTCTGCCCTCCAATTGCTTTAAATAAGATGACATTTTTTCTCATGTACTGATGGCTAGGTTTAGAAACCTACTTTGTCCTGATAATACTTTAAGGAGAATGTCATGTGATCATGGAGAGCCATACTTGCTGGAGGCAAACTGTGTCTCCTGTAAGAGCTGGAAGAAGAAAGATAGAAACAGAAATTCTATCTTTTATTCCCTTCTTTCTAAAGATGAGGATGATCTTATGTGCCAGTTCTCCCATCCTTAGTGAGGATTGAAAGAAATAATTTCTGTAATGCATATCTTGTTCGTTTTTATTTTAAAATGTAAAATTTAGAAAAATTGTGTGTGTGTGTGAATGTGATCTAAAAACAGTAACTATTTTAGCAATTTTGCATACATTCTGTGACTCTCTCAGACAGTATTTGTTGAATGAAAGAATCTTATTTTGATGCCACTTCAACTTAAAGACAGTTTAGCATCCTGTTTATGCTTGACAGAGGTAAAATGTTTTCTGAAATCTTAGTTTTAGTAGTGTTACATCAGGAGTCAGATCTTTTGGGAAGCAGATTTCTAACTGTATGTTTTTTAGATTTGATTTTTAAAAATCCAAAATCTTACAGTATTTATGTATTAAAAGTGTAAACTGCAAAAGACCCTAAGACATAGATATACCACCTATAATGATTTTCCTTGAATTGTATATAGTTTTCTGCGTAAGCTGGAGAGCTGATCAACGTATGCAAATATATAACTTTAAAATAAAGTATGAGAAATACTTCAAAAAATTAAGTATTTCACTAGAAATGGAATTTGTGTGAGAGGGAGACATTTTCCTCAAGCATTTAAAAAACAAATATTAAATGTAAAATTATACTTGGCAGTTCACTTATTCTTGTAAACATTTTATAAGCTATCAGTGCTTAGCCTTTAAACAACTCTTTCACTAAGAGGAGTTGGCATCTATGTTCTTGGAGAAGATGGAAGTTGATAGCCTTCCTAAAAATACTTGCCTCTGATAAGAAATTGGTGATAGAAGTTGAAAGAGATGAATGTGGGTTAAACTTGATTTCATAAAACATGTTGTTGTTAGGTGCTGTTGGTTCAAAATACTGTTGATATAATTTGGTTGCATAGAACTAGTACAGTTTTCCTGTAAGCTGATCTCATGGTCTTATGTTGCAGTTACTCTTTCCTAAGATGTCCAGATGTTGTTGTTGTTAGCAACCTCATGTAAAACAGAAGGAAACACTGCCCGGCCCTGTGCCATCCTCACAATCGTTGCTGTGTTTGAGCCCATTGTTACAGCCACTGTGTCAGTCCATCTCCTTGAGAGTCTTCCTCTTTTTTGCCTACCCATCTGAGAAGCATGATGTCCTTCTCCAGGAACTGGTCCCTCCTGACAACATGTCCAAAGTGCGTGAGATGAACTCTCGCCATCCTCGCTTCTAAGGGGCATTCTGGCTGTACTTCTTCCAAGACAGATTTGTTCATTCTTCTGACATTCCATGGTATATTCAGTATTGTGTCGGTTCTGGAGGAAGGTCCTCATTAATCTTCCCCCACACGAGGAGCCTTCTGCCGAAGAACCCTGGGTCCAAAGGACACGCTCTGCTCCTGGCGCTGCTTTCAGACAGGGTCCCCCTGTCTCTCTGCTCGCTTCTGTTTTATATCTCAAAAGAGATTGGCTCAAGACACAGTCCAATCTTGTGGATTGAGTCCTGCCTCATTAACATAACTGCCTCCTATCCCATCTCATTAACATCATAGAGGTGGGATTTACAACACATAGGAAAACCACATAAGATAACAAAATGGTGTACAGTTACACAATACTAGGAATCTTGGCTTAGCCAAATTCATACACATATTTTTTGGGGACACAATTCAATCCATGATACAAGGTGATTGAAAAGACCATTGCTTGGGTCAGGCGCACCTTAGTCCTCAAAGTGACGTTTTCACTTTTTTAACACTTCTAAAGAGGTTTTTTGCAACAGCTTTGCTCAGTGGAGTACATCATTTGATTTCTTGACTACTGCTTCCATGGGCATTGATTGTGGATCCAAGTAAAATGGAATCCTGACAACTTTAATTTCTTTTTATTATGATGTTGCTTATCGGTCTAGTTGTGAGGATTTTTGTTTTCTTTATGTTGAGGTATAATCCCTATTGAAGGCTGTAGTCTTTGGTCTTCATCAGTAAGTACTTTAAGTCCTCTTTGCTTTTAGCAAGCAAGATTGTGTCATCTGCATATCGCAGGTTGTTAATGAGTCTTCCTCCAATCCTTATGCTGTGTTCTTTTTCATATAGTCCAGCTTCTCAGATTATTTGCTTAGCATATAGATGGAGTAAGCATGGTGAAAGGATACAACCCTGACCCACACCTTTCCTGATTTTAAACCACGTAGTATACCCTTGTTCTGTTTGAACGACTGCCTCTTGGTCTATACAGTTTCCACAGAAGCACAATTAAGTATTCTGAAATCCCATTCTTTGCAGTGTTATCCATAATTTGTTATGATCCACACAGTCGAATGCCTTTGCATAGTCAATAAAACACAGGTAAAAATCTATCCAGTATTCTCTGCTTTCA